GAATTCTGTTTCTAAACTGCACCACTTACTTGCCTTGCAAGTGATGTGAGTAGGTGTCTGCATATTCCCTGGGGAGCTGGCTGTTGTGATGAGGAGCTTCCATTTTAAAACAAAATCCCAGGCCTTGCATTATGGGGGATTATGTTGACTTCTGACCAGAAATGATTGTGTGTTATTCAGTGTAGGTTCTTGGTACGAGCCTGTTTATCCTTAGTTAAGGTGGATTACTTGAGGTTACAGTGCATACTTTGGACATTGGAGGTGTTAATGCCAATTTTCAGGAGTATTGGTGTGTACTGTCACCATAGCTGGGTGGTGTTCTCATCAGGCGTGCTGTTGAGTGCACTGACTCCGATAAAAGACACATTCAAGGTTCATCTATTCTCAGAGATACGGCTTGCTGGGCACTGACTCAACATACTAAGGCAGCCATGATCATGGTTTTTGTGGCCTCTGCTGTGTGGAGAGAGTGTTGCTCAGGGTTTGGAAGATGGGAGCGACCAGCAGTCCACAGGCTGCTCAGCTGTGCACTGAATTTTGCTGGTTTCTGCACAGAGAAACTTTCACACCTCATTTTAGGTCTTTGTTAATTACATTAATCTTCAGTGATGTCTTCAGCAGCCCCCTCCAACGTGTGCCAGTGGGACAGTTACAAGTAAGTGAGATTAAAAAAGGGAACTGATGCAGGCAGTGATTTTCATACAGGCAAAACTGGGGGGAGTCACTTGGGACCATGGCCCTAAGCTGTCTCAAGGGGTTGTCAGAATGACTTGGAAGTCACTGAATGTCTCCTTTCTGGTCTGGCAGGGAGATGCTTAGTCTGGAGCAAGATCTTCAGAAAACAACATGGTAGGTGCAGGTAGCTCCGTGGCAATCCCTTTCTCTGGTGTAAAATGAGCATATAGATCAAAGTCCTACACGGAACTGCTGGAGACCTGTGAGCTGGCTGCAGAAGGTGCACCTCAGAGGGTTGTGATAACAGCTGCTGCAAAATCCATCTACTGTTTCCCTGATTTCCCACTGTTTCTGCAAGGTCTTGACACTGGTTTCATTTCTTGAGAAATAGCTGTGTCCGCACCTGCACAGATCACTTGTGCTGCATCTGAGGAAAGAGAAAAATGTGAGAATAAGCAGTTCTGAAATCAGGTTATGGAAAGATTGTGACACAGCTACAATTGGTATTGCTGGGTGATTTAAAGCAAGAGGAAGGAACTTGGAACTCCTACCAAAAGAGTGAAGCCATGTTGTTTCCAGTGATTTATGATTCGGAGCCTAGAAAGCCACTTTTTTTTATTGTAGTCTTACAAGCACCTGCATGGCTGTTTTGAATGTCAACTGGTTTGCACTGAAGGCACACCTGAGGATCCAAATGAGAGCAGTTTGTTTTTCCCCATTAGCAGTTACCCTTCCACATAGCTATGAAATGTGGTAAAGTGATACTGCAGCAGCTCTGTAGCAGCTACTCTGCTGCTGCTTTGTTCCCAGGGACTGCAGAAAGCTGGACTGAAGCATCAGAGGGGTGACTGGTGGAGGATCTCATTCAGCAGTGCATTCTTCAGCCATCATTGCACATAGACAGCTGGGCTTTGGCATTATGGACCTGCTGAAGCTGGAGAAGAGTCTACCTTACATCTATACCAATACTGTATATATTTTTAAATTAAGTTTTGAGCTCTTGATGTACTTTTCTAGCAAAGGATCCAAACGTTTCCTTCCTTCAGCTGCAGTACTTGGCAATTCTGTCCTCTTCTTCCTCCCCCCACTCCAAAAGTGACAACCTTCAGAGACTTGTTACTGTAAATCGGCAAATAAGAAACCCCTAAAACTCAATTTATGAGCATTAGCGGGCAGGCATTCCTTTATTATCAGCACTGGACACACAGGATGATAGCTCCTCTAATCGTGTATGTCCCATTCTCAGCTTGCATATTCAGTAAATGTCTTACACATTCACTACTTATAAAGTTCACGCATGTTAATTAGCTATCTCCATTGCACATCTCAGAGTCACCATGATGACAAAGAGGACCGTGACAAGGATTGCATTCAGGGCTTTGTCCATGGCCTGCTGGCCAAATGCAAATGGTGGTGCCACCCTGGTCAATGAGGTTCTTTGCACGCAACCCGGGCTCCAAAGCTCTGGGCTCTCAAAAGCTCACTCGGTTTTGTTCATCCTACTGAAGGGTTTAGAGGTCCCTTCTTCTGTAAGTGGCTGGGAAAGTGAAGGAAGGCTTGAAGAAGTCCAAATAACATTCAATTAATGGAAGCAAAACGAGCTCTCAGGACACTGCTCTTACCCTTCAGCAGCTGTTGAAACAGAAATCCACATTTAAAGCAATCAGCCATGAACTCCATTCACTTCAGAAATATGCTGTGCAGTTTTTGTAGCTTCTGCTCTGGTCTCCCACCTCTTCCAGCATCCAGCCTCACAATGAGAACAAGAACATAGCTGGTGAGGGAGGGAGACCTGTTCAGAAGTTGTAAAGACGGACACTTCATACAAAGGAAAATGAATCAGAACTCTTGTCCACAAGATACTGGTAAGGCCAGTGCTTAAAAACATGATGCATCCCAGGGTACTTTATTTTTAATGAGCATTATAAAATACTTACTCTTCTGGCCATGAAGCAACATCTTGATAGGAGGTCTAGGAAGAAACTTCCTCCATGGGTGAGTCATTTCTCTAGTAAATTCTTAGGGGCTTTCATGTCTTTTCCTGATATGCTAAGTCGGACACTGTCTAGAAATGTTTTGGTTGCATATAGGAATTAATTCTGCAAGCCTTGATATCCAAAATATTATTCCATCTTTATCATTGAGGGGATGTTCTGCATAGTAGGAGCCTCAACTGACCTCTGCAGTGCAGGGCTGTGCTCAATGGGCACAGCAGTGCTGCCTTCAGCATGATGATCCAGCTGGGGCTGCAAACATCACCTGAGCTCTCCAAGCAAATCCAAATCGGCAGCTTTTACCCCCCCCCCCCCCCCCAACACCCACCCGCCCCCTTTTCCCCCCCCCCCCCCCCCCCCGGAGTGGTACCTGCCTTGTGCTTTCAGTACAAGGCTGCATGGCACGACATGCACTCAGTGCTCTGGCGTGGAGGGAAGCAGGAGCTGAGCAGCTGATGCTGGGGCAGGAAGAGGGACTAGAAAGGTGGTTGATCCTCCAGCTGCTGCAAGGGTGACTGCTGGTCATCCTGCCACTGCTCCACCCCTGGCTGCATAGGAGATGTGCTTCCCTATGCCTGCCTTGCTGGGGAATGGCACATTGCCTGCCCTGTCCTAGGGCGCCATGCTTCCTGATCTCTTCCTCCAGATTTTACCTTCATTTAAGACATTTATTGCCTTCAAATTGTCCCTAGGTCCAGGGAGAGACTTGAGAAACATAGCTGAACACATTAGACTAGAGCAAAGTGAATGTCATTACCTCACACGCCTGTGGATGCAGCTGTACGAGGCTTCTGTCAAATCACCTGCTACTCCATCCCTTCCTGGATGAAGCTGGTGAGTAATAGCACTCTTCAGTCCTTCTGCATCAAGAAAATGTTTCCCCTTTGGTAGAATCCTGTCCTCTGCTTGCAGAATATAAAGCCTGGGTTTGTAAGAGCCTCATAGATAGGGAAGTTGTTATAGGATAGTTGTGTTACAGTACTGGGGAAGGGATTTTAATCAGGGAGGTTTGCTGCCCTAAGGCTGAGTTCTGATCCCTTTGTTGAAGGGCATTATAATGCTTCAGTAGCATGTCCATTGCTCCTATTCATCTGGGAGCTCAGTAGGCTCAGCTTCTCCAGCCCTATTGCTCTGGAAATGCTGCTGGCAGCAGGAAGGAATGTTGGAGCTGGTCTCCCTGTTCCTCCTCACTCGCTCTTGCTTTGGTTGGGAACTTTGTTTTCCAGGCTGGCAGCCAGGCTAGAAAAGCCCCAACAAAAGCTCAGGAGCCCAGGAGAGGCATCCCTCATCAGGTGGAGAGGAGCAGTGCCTGCAGCTCCCAGTGGCTCTGCACATCCATGCCCAAGGCTTCTCCTGCATCTTTGTGAGTACCACACCTCCATGCTTGGAGACAAGGCCCTTCCCCATAAATCACAGGTTTTGCCTTGAGACTTCTGTGTCACTGACAACTGCCTGACCTAATTGCTGGGCCCTGGCTGAGCAAGCAGGAGGAGGTGGCCTACAGCACTGTATGTGTTTCATTTTTCCTTGGGCATCTGCAAGATTTCTAGACACAAGCAAGGGCTGCCAAAGTAGCACATGAGCAAGATCCGTAAGAATTAAGAGAAAATGTGTGAGTGAAGCCCACAGTAATTCCTTATCTCTTTCTACTCCTCCCTTCAGGGTTTTTTTTCCTGCAAATCCCCAGCCTTCCTAAGGAAATGTTTGTTTTTCACTGCATTTGCCTTTTAGCTGTGCACCCAGTTTTGTAAGAGGCGAGGAAAGGGTCAAGACAAGCAACTAAGTGTCACTGCCTCAGCAGCACCCGGAGCCCCTTCCTCAGTGCAGCTCAGGTTTTTAAAAATGACAGTGTTCTAATGCTCTCACCCTTTGTCTTTGCAGGGCTGTAGAAGAATATTTCAACTACCCTAATAGTTAAAAAAACACCTGCTAGTTGTTTATTGTTCAAGCATTCCTGCTGCTTCCCAGTAGTTAATGGAGGAAGTACCATGGGAGCAAGGGAGAAACTGGTCAAGGGAAGCAGAATAAATTAGGATCATTGTTTCACCCTGGCTCATCCTGGGATATCCAGTTGTTTCACACAGGCATTGGAGCTGGGAGTTTGCATTCAGGTGTGGCCAAGAGAACTGGATCTTGGCTCTAAAGCTGCTGCTCCCTTTGGTGGGTTGCGGGAGGTAGGATGGCTGCAGGGCATGGCTGGAGAAAGGAGCATGCTCCCATGCAGTGGGGCTGGGTGTTGTGTGAGCATACTGCTGGTAGCCTGCCAGGGCTGCTGCTGACCTGGTAGCCACGTACCTACCTCTGTTCAGAGGAGGCTTTGGCCTCGGAGAAGCTGCCTGTTTCATCCCTAGGCAAAGCATGCCTTTTCCTTCCTTCAGCCGCTTCCTGGAAGGTCCCAGTTCCTAAAAGGTAAGCTTCGAGCTGTTCTTCAGATGTTCTCCGCTTTTTCTCTCCCAACTCATATGTGCTCCAGCAGCCAGCCCCCGGCGCAAGGGCTCTGCCTCTGCGTGGAGCCGCGGAGCTGCGCTGAGAGTCCTGCCTGGCTCCCGCCGCTGGAGGGCAGCGGCCGCATGCCCAGCGCCCCGGCGCTCCCCGCGGGGAACAGACCTCATAAAACAGTCTCACCGCAGATTCCCTAGATCGCCTTTATGAAGTCAGATAGTCCCAAATTCAGACACATGGCCTAATACAACAGGCATCACGGGACACTTAACAAACTGGAGGCATTAAAGGAGGCATTTAAAAAATGAATAAGAAAACGTATACAAGTTTGCAGACCTCCTGTTGGAGCTCAAAATGAGCTGTGTTGTGGACTTTCTTTTTTAAAAGGAGTTAGTGGTTCATGCTTTCATAATGCAGCTTTATAAATTCATCTGATAAATAGAAAATGGCTTATGTGCTTCTTTCAGTGGTGACAAGCTGAAGCCCAGTTTTCTAGTTTGCAGCTGCGATCATTGTCTCTTCTGTGTTTTTACAGAACTTAATATAACTTGAGCTCAGTCCTGTAGTTGACCAAACGCTCTGTTCCATTAGCTGTGCCTGACAGGAGCAGTGGTGCTTGATTTATGCCAGATTTCATGTTCTGTTGGCCCACAATACCAAACATGACTTCAACATCTTGTGTCCATATTTTGCTCAGGTAAGGTTTGAGAAAACAACGAGAACTGTAGAGTTCCGTGCATAGCTAATCAATTTGCTCATTTCTGTGTGTTTTTGAGGTTTTGCCCACCACAGCCCTGCCCACATGTGGGCATTATGCTGGAGAGGCTGTCAGGGAATGGAACAAGGAGCATCTTCAGAGGCAATCATGATTTGTCATGACTTCTTCCAGCTGTGGCTCCCTCACACCACAGTTTTCGTACTCTCCATATTTTTTCACTTCTGTCATCACCTGAGGATGAGTCCCATTTAGATGGGAAGTTTTCCAATTAAAATCTAGGTCTGTTCTGTCCTGTCACAGGAAAAGTTCTGTGTTCGGAGTGGTGGTTAGCACTGCTTGTGTCTGAGCCCCCTGCAATAGGGTCAGAAATGAAAAGAAGTTGAATGGGCTGGTCTTGAGATGCAAACCATTCACCACCTGGCATGGATCACTCTGGGCAGAAGCTGCTGTGCATCACTGGCCGAGGTCAGCTGTAGCCTGATGACACAGTGATGGCCACACTCCCCTCTCTCCTCATCCCCATGCTGGGTGCTAGTGTGTTGCCACACCAACTCCACGATGGCGGGGACTATCCGGCATGTCACAAGGAAGGGACACATATGGAGGGGCCTGGAGAGGCTCCCTCAGCTCTGGATGGTCCTGCAGGGCTCCCTGCAGCAAGGCTGAAGGCCCTGTCATGATACAGGGAGCATACCCTGGAGACTTTCTGCAGCCACTGGGAAGTGCTGGGAATGGGCAGCAGTGTGACCTGCAGTTCATTGCCCAGCTGTGTCTGCTGCAGCATTCTGGCACAGATGGTGGCCCCATCCGGCACCCAATGCCAGGGTGGCTGGGACCTTGCATCTCTGCCTTCCTGGTGGCAGCCGTGCCCTGTTCCCCACTGCTAGGCATTTGCTGGCTCCCTACCCTGGTGGTGCTACTCTCAGCAATCAAAGTTGGTTTTATTTATTCAAATCCCACTTAGCATCCATCAAGCTTAAAAATCACATGATTACCTCTTGTACAATTTTGTTTCATAGGAAAGTAATTAATTTAGCAATTAAGCTGTGCCCAGAACAAATGATGTAAGAGCACTCTGTGTGGGCTAAATTAGTACCTGCTGGGACACAATGCCAACATCTGTTTGGTTTAGTGACATTTATTTTAAACAGTCAGAGTGGAGATGCTGCACCTTGTGTAATTTTACTGATGGCTTCATCCCAGCCAGAGACCCAGAGTGGACTCAGTAGTGTCCGCTAGAGCATGCTCCATTTGGTCAGCAGTGAAAAAGAAGCTTACTCTGATGCCTCTTCTCTGTCTCAGGGAGGGTGTTTTAAATTTGAGTTTGCTGGCCAGGTGGGCATTGTTTATACCTCAAGCAGTGTGGGAAGCTCTGGAGAAAGAAATGCTGCTCCTGAGAGCGTGAGGTACTTTAGCCATTTAGACGAACATTTCTATTATATCAGTGCACTGAATCTTCCTCCGAATTTCTAGAGCAAGGCTTTCCACCAGCACTGGAAACTGCCAAAGGGCCTGGTGGGAGGGAAGTGTCCTGCCCTATCCTTTCAGTGGTGTTACTACCCTAAGGGATTTGCTCCAGACAGAGAGCTCCGCTTCTGGAGAAGGGTGATTTTTATGGTAGGCAAACACAGGTTGCCATGGATTTCTGGCTGCTGTGGTACATTCTCTGTTTCCCTAAGGAGTCTGTAGCAGCAGGCAATGCGGTGTTACATGGGAAAGACTCTGTTTTCCCTTGGTGGGAAGCAGGCTGCGGGTCTGGGGCAGAAACCCTTCTGCTGATGTGTTGGGGGGAGCACTGGGGGCACCCCATGTTCCCAGATACAGAGGGTGTCTCTGTTTTTGCTGCCTCTGCCCACAGGAGGGGTGTCAGCATGGTGCTGGAGTAGAATCACCTTAAAGGCAGATTTTTTGAGAGGAAATTCTATAGAAGGAAGTGTGTTCATGTCTGTGATGCTTATTTTTGTCTGTAGGAAAAGAGATATTGTTTATTGTCTAATGTAGTTACTTGTTAACTATGTATTTAGTGGGTCTAGTTAATCTTGACTGTTTCATTTCCTAAGGGACCAAATGTCAAAGACAGCTTCAGAAAAATTTGACAGCTTAAGTTTTCTTGCAACTTTGATAAAATGCTGTCAGCAGGACAGCAGGGCATTCCTTAAGCCTGTCTCCAATCTGTATAGCCCTAATTGTTGCTCTTAGCTTCATGGGAGAAATGAACCTCGTCTACTGTTCTTTTGACCTTTGTGGGGTGATAACTATACAGAGAATGATGTGTTTTCTCTGGGTCATATGAGAAGACTCTTTGACATGAGCTTGGGAGAGCTGATCTGGGCAGCAGAAGGTTGCCCAGTCCCTTGCCTAGCTTCCAGCTGTGGATGCTGTACATCTACAAAGGGCAATTGCACCTTCAACTGAGGTGAATGTGCTTTGTTTATATCAAAACTTATACTTTAAAAAATTTCATTGGGTAGATTGTGCTCAAGTTCTGATGTCGTAGCTTTAAACTGTTCTGTTAGTGACATCAACTAGCCCTCCTTCCTACATAATGAGTAGGAAGATTTATTAAAGGTTAGGGAAGTGGAAAGTAAGAAATAAGGTGATCAGGAATCACCAAGGATTAGTGAAAGAGTCCAAGACCCTTATGTAAACCCCCAGGGAGAGCCAGGAGGTCTATGACAATGTAAACTCATCACCCAGTTTTTCCCCTCCTGCTGCTCCCCAAGCTCCCATATGAAGGGCAGCCAAATTGCCTTTATAAGTGAGAGAAATTTCCATGTCCAGGAGAAAGCCTTGAAACTACCACTGCGGTTAATCTTAAAAATGAGTCCCCAGGTGGCTGTGTGAAAGACTTCTAAAAAGCATGAGGAGGAAAAACATCTTTTTTGGAGAACAGAAAGAAGAAATAATTTAAGTAATCCAGTCCAAAACAGATCTACGTTTAAATGCATGCCTGACCTTGTAGGACCAAGCTGACCTTTTGGAGTTACAGGGCTAATAAGCAGTATTATTAGCCACTGTGTTGCCACTGTGGAGCCCGTGGCTTTGCCTAGTCCTTGTCTGCTCCTTCAACATCCTTATATCACTGACTTTGGTGCCTCAAAGTGCCTTTGGTGCCTTTGTCTCTCTTCTTTCTTACACTTGTGCTTACTCATGGACTTTACATGGAAGCTGTAGATTGTGTGTATTAGAAGGTCAGATTTCTCTCTCTCCCATGGATGTTAAGAGTTTCAAGAAGAGGACATGTTAGTTTGCTTAGCAGCAAAGAGCTCCCTAAGAGACAGAAGTGGCTGCAGCCACATTGCGCTTTTTCATGAGGACCAAAAAAGCAATTGAGGGGATGACTGGGATCAGTCTAGATCTTGGTCCTGCTCTATAGCCATCTCCTTTGTGGGAAAAGCAGTGGGGAAGCAATTTGACCTTAATAAGTGATAAGCATAGCATGTTCTTGCTACAGTTTTCTTTTAAGCCTGCTTCTCTTTTCGGCATCCACAGAAAGGCTGGTGTGAAAGCCTGACTCCCATAGGCCACTGGGGCGTCCCAAGTGTGCCAGCCTGAGGGCATAGGGGACAGCAGGAATTCACAAGTCAGCACCATAGCTGAGGTGGGGCTCTTGAAACCATATCCCAAGGCATGTTTGAAGTCTGGTCATCCCTGGGTAATCCTGGAGTATTGGCCAAGCTCTTGTTATTAACAATCCATCAGTGGAGTAATCCTAAATAAATATTTATGTGTACAGCAGTACTTGGATACTTTTGTTTACAGGGCAAGCTCTGTCAGTGCTCAGTGGCTGTGCCACTGCTTTATAATTTGGATTTGTGGAGGCATTTGTTCTTTTTTCTTCCCCACTTATTTTGTTCCTTTTGTTCCTTTTTCTTCAATTTGCACCTGTTGTGGCTGGACCCTCTTCAGACTGAAGAGGCAGCATGTGCAGAGCTTATGGTGTTCACTTAGAGGAGAAGGGAGCTAGACCTATTTTCTTGCTTAATGTCCTGTTGTGGGACACAGGCAAGCCAATTTCTGCCTCTCTTCAACCATCCTGCTAAAGCTGTTGCCTTCTGCCTGAACTGAGCTATTGGCCTTTCTGGATGCTGCAGGTGTGCCATGAAAAGTTCAAGAGGACTGTTAAAAAACCTTTGATAATTTGTGTGCTTTACCCATCTGCCATCACCTTTGGCAGCTTCTTAAGCTCATGTGGGCTGAGCTCTGCCTAGAGGAGCAGCCTCCATGTAGCTGGATCCCAGTTTGGGTACCAAACATGTTCCTTGTCTTCATGAATGTTTTGCTGAGTTTCTGGGCTGGTGGAAACCTCGTGGTTTTGAGTTCCACTGATATATTAGGCACTGCTGTGTTTTGGTTATTGGCATTCCTGTGGTCAGCCCTCGTGCCCGGGGCTTGTCCAAGCACCCAGGCCATGGCAAACCAAACCCAGCAGTGCAGTGTTTTTGTCTTGTTTTAATTAGAGTAGGACATAATTATTAGCAGCATGTTTTTGTTTCCATTTGTTCATTCTGACAGCAACCAAAGGAGGCCATTATCTCTACAAGAGGATGTTTCAGCACATGTTGCCGTAAATAAAGCTAACAGGATCAGTGCAAAGAGATGATCACATTCTCTTAAGGACGGCAATCGATAATCAGGCTGTTACATGCCAAATCCTTTCAAGAGGCACGATAGCAAGTTTGCACTCAGATCAGCCTTTAATCTTGCAGGATCACTGAGCTCTTTACTGGCTGATGTATTTCCCACAGCCTGTCTGCCCTGTAACACAGGTCTCCCTGTAAGACATGGCAGTTTGGAGACAAAGAAAGTAAGCTGATGCCTTTTGGGCAATATATTTCTGTATGGATCAGGGTAAAGATGGAAAGTCAGGTCTGGGTTTGACCCTGGATAACGTTTCACAACCTTCCCTGCTCTGTGAACAGCAGCAACCTTGAGCACACAACCTGTTCCTGGAAACTGTGTGCTTCTCTGGTCCCCTTAGCCAGAGACAGCAGCCTCAGTTTTAACTTTCCTGCAGGCCTTGGCTGCAAACAGCATTATTCTTGGAAGCAAAATGCCACTGAAGACCTGCTCTTCATGCTGGCAAATAAAGTACTTAAGCAATGTGATGTTTGTTAAAACAGCAAAATATCTTCTAAAAGTGTTTCTGTGGAACACTGGGGGAAAATGATGAGATGTATACTGGAGGGTGTTCATTCCTGAGATCTCCAGTGTTTCTTATAGTCCTCATTTTAGTGTGTCTTTTGATCTTTGCTGTTTGCCCCAAAGCTATGGGCATTAGGTGAGCTCCTCAATTTTATTTTATTAAAAAAAAAAAAAGAAGAAGTTCATAGCCCTCAGGGATTTGCAGAAAAGTTTGAAAACGTGATCATAAACTTCAGGAAACCAGACTGCAATTAGGAAAAGCTCAAACATTTATAATTTTCTTTCAAAAAACAGAACAAAAACCCTTGCAATTTTAAAACTGTGATTCTCTGGATCTTGATGCATAATTTTTGAGTATGTGGGGTTGGCAGTGCTGGAAAGGATGCTTTTCTCTGCCCTGTTTTACCAGCTACTTTAACTGTTTCTGCACCTTTTTCTTGGCTGGCCTGTCCTGCAGCTGAGGAGCCCTCTCCATCTCTGGGGGCTTGGAAGGGCAGACAGAGATGGTGGCAGCGGTCAGGATCATCGCAGAGGCTGCCCTGCATGGGTGCATCTGGCCATGTGGTTCAGACCTGCTGGGCAGCAAAGACTCTTCAAGGTCTTAAAGCCTGCTCTCCTGGTGAGGAGGGTCCTGGGGAGATCACCTGGGACAGCAGCACCTCTTGTCCCCCTCTCAGTTGCAGCCAAGTGCGTGGCTCCTCCTTTGCAAGCCAACAGCTTGTCTTGGAGGATTGTCTCCAGTGGGCAAAGCTTGCTGTAGGGATGTAATCTTCCCTGAAGGCTCACAAAGGGAAGGGGCTCTTTCCTTCAAGTGCTTGTTTGCATGGTGTGGTGACTGCTGCGAGCAGGGCCCCCAGTGTGACCCTGCTCTTTGCAGGGCATGGAAAGGCATGGCACCTTCCCAGAAATCCTGCAGAGATGCAGGAACACCGTTGGGCTCTTCCCTCTGCTTCTTCCTTCCCAAGCTGCCCTCCCCTGGGCACTGCTCTTTCATATTTTTAGAAAGTACAGTTGATGTTTTTCAGCTCTGAATTTGCACGTCAGCAGCCATTGCACAGTGAATTCTCAGGGGCCTATTTATTTCGCAAGCAAGGGTCGTACACTGAGACAGTGTTTTCCACCACATTGTCAAGAGCACTCTGGGCTCTAGCTGCTTCAAAATGGCAGCTATTGTTTGGTGTCCCACGTCCTGCTTGAAACCAAGCCTCCCCTTGACCTGTTTTAATAGCTCCACTTTGTGGTCTATTTATCCCCACATGCTTTCAGGGTGAGTGGGGAAGGGCTCATTCCTATTTTAGGGACAGTTGCAGCAACATGCTGCAAGCAGCCCCTTTTTCTGCCTTCCTCGCAGTTTTATGGGGTAGTCCTAGCTTACTCCAGCACAAGTCCCTTGCAGAACTGGAGCATCTGGAAACTGGCCATGGTTGCTACACCAAACTCTGTGCTACCAGGGCACAGCCCATTGCATCCTTTGCAGAATGATGCCTGCAATAGGGAAATTATGCTTTGGCCTGCTCAATCAAAGATTCGAATTTATAAAAAGTGAAATATCAGCCCTCCGGGTAGAGGAGGGCAAGAGTGAGCAGAGCTTTGTTTCACAGCTGGAGGATGACCATGGAGATGGGGGGAGTCGTTTATCACTTTTGGTCAGAGGAGATAGCAGGACCAGTAGAAAACTTCAGAGGCTACAGCCTGGCTGGGCAAAGTCCAAATCTCCTCCCTCACTACCCAGGATCTCCTCCTTCATTGTCTGGGCTTGGTGACTCTGTGTGTTAATATGGCACACCCATATTAAGATTGTATACCCATCATTTCCCACAAAAATACTTATTACAGGGAGTTTGTTTCTCCACCCCCCTATTGTAAGCACTTGTGGATTGTGTGGATCCTCTGAAACCATCTTTAGCTAACCTGTGCCATGTTCAACTAATCCTGCAGGGCTCTGAGTGTTTTCACATTTTCCTAGCTGGGCTGAGCGCCCTTCCAAACCGTCAGCCTGAATGCCATCCATGCATATTCATGTTCCCTGAGAAATGCAATTGTAACTATTTCAATTACGAGAGCCCTCAAAACCATAAATGTCTCCAAAGTTGCAAAGAAGGCCTGGAACTGAAATCACCCTGGCTCACTAAAATTTGCCCATTACATTTTCATGAGTTTGCCTGTATCCAATGTTTCAGCTAGAACAGTGTTCTTACTTCCAGCATGTGCATGTGTGCAAGGCACACTATCTGCTTACCCTGACATGGTGTCCATGCTTCCAGACTCAACCAGGTCTCCTTTCTCCCACTGAGTCTTCTCCCTAGGTAAACAACTCTTTTGGTTTGTCCTGTTCCTACCTGTATTTGCTCATCCACTTTGAAAATGAGCTCTCCATAGCCTGGGGTATTATATATGGTGTTTATTTTGGCTGGTTCAGGGTTTTGCTAGCAAAGAGGGCAAAATTCTTGCATGGTTCTTAGGCCAATGTGCTTTACTTCAGACACAAGCAAACTGTAGTCACACTTAGCATGTGCAAGTGGCTGTGCAGTGCTGCATTCACATACAGAGGTAAATAAAGGGTAATGATAATGTTGCCCAGAAGGCTTACACATCAAAGGCCAAGGAGCAGTTAAAATGTATTACGAGCTGTTGGCAGTGATTGTGGGGGGTATTCGTGTGTTGCTGATTTGGACAGCCAGAGTAAATGAAAACCCTCTGGATTAATTGGTACCCCAAAGAGATTTAGAGGAAAATGAAGGCTGATGGAAATTGACAAACAAGGGAAAACACAGATAGCTGGGTGTGTTGACCTGCAGTGGGGCACTGCTGATTCATTTGCAGCTCCCTACTGTGCCCTGGGAAGCCAAGCTGAGGTGGGGGTGCCCTGCCAGCAGCTTGCCTAGTGCTTTGTTGGGAGCAGGCTGAGCCCCAGAGGCAGCATCTGCAGTGCTGCTACTTCAGCACATCCAAGTTTGTAGTTAAGGGTGAGACTGAACGGGTGTCTTGTGACACCTGGACACAGGACAAGAGTTTAATTACTTTTAATGATGTGAGGTGCTAGGGGAGGGAGAGGAGGCCTGGTATCACAGAGTGACTGAGGCTGGGAACTTCATGATTGATTTGCACAGAGACGGCTGGCTGAATCAGACGACAACCAATATGGGGAATATTGAATGATACACTCCCATATTTTACTAGGATACCTGTATTCCAATTACTATTATGTGGTTTATTATTAATGCTTCAATTTTACATAAAGGGCATCTGTGTGTTACACTGACAGCCATACAAACTCCAGTCGTACCGGCTCACTCACTTTTTAGTTGACCAGCTGGGGCAGGACCACTCAACACAGCACCAGCTAAGTTGTGCCCTTGCAGACCCACCTCTTTGGTGGCTGGGGCAGGGTACTCATGCTGATGACAGTGGGCAACTGGTGCTGACTTGGGAGTCTTTCACATGTTCACACTGGGACTGGAAAAGAAGGTTCTTGTCTTTCCCCTGATCAGCAGCTGTTTTTGCCAATGAGTTTCCAAAAGAATTTTGCCAAAGCCAACAGGCCACGACTTGTGCTGGTGTCAGTGATGTCTCATCTGGACATCACGTGGTTCATCCTGTCGAGTAATTCCTCAGTCCTCTTGCCTTGGTCCTACCTACTCATCACTGACTCTGGTAAAGACACTTTTTTATTGCTAGTCTTTACTAGACACCTCACAGTTTGGGTGTTTTCCTGTTCTGTTACACCAGTTCCCCTGCAGCTCAAGAGTTTGCTTCATTCCTGCACCCAACTCCATGCTTCGCATATTCCTCTCTTGCAGACTTGAGGAATCCTTGTCATGGGAAGAAAAGCACAGAAGGTGATGTGCTTCTGGTCACCTGATGACTTACAAGGTCTCTTTCTTCTCACATTATCCTTTCAGTGCATGGATGAGAGGAAGGAAAAGGCTGCTCAAACTGGCAGGTTCTCCCAACCATGTGTCCTTCTGGCAGCTGTGTGGATGTGATGGGGATGGAAGGTAAAACAACAATTCCAGAGGGGCCTTTCTCAGTCCTTTTCCTGAATATACTTACGAGAAAAACAGATGAGTAAAGCTGGCAGAAAGACAGCGAAGAAAAGCACATTGTTTATGCACAGGTAGGATTGCTCATCTCCTTGAGACCTTGACCCAAGTCTGTCAGGCTCCTGTCTTGTCTCCCAGCTCATTGTCACAGGTGATTTAAAGCATAGCTCAGCTCTGCAACCTTCGTCACTACCCATCCCACTGTCCTTCTGCTGGCAGTCTCCTTCATTCTTTAAGTGTCACAGGAAAAACCTTGCTTTCTGCTTGTGCTGGGGAGCATTGTAGCAGGGTGGGAGAAGCAGCAGTCTTCTGTAGATTTTTAATATAGTGAGGCCCTAAGAATGAGCACCACCAACTTATTTCTGACATGTTCCTGAAAAATTCCTTGCTTCTCCCATAAATCCGAGACATACGTAAAGAATCTGTTTTCAGTCTTAAAGCTAAAGAAAAGCATCAATTTTAAAATCTATTTTTAAAGCCAATTACATTTAATTTATAATGTTAAACTGAAGTTTTTAAAGTGCTGTCATCCTTGAAAAAAAGAGAACATTTCATTTTTTGTTGACTAATGATGAAATGTTTTCTAAAGGTGACTGAGCATAGCACAGTCACATAATTTATTAGCTTATTAAACATAATTAATTGAATCTGGTTACTAATATTGGCTATGACTTTGCAAGTAAAAAGCACTTTTGGTTAGCTAGACAGTTACTTATGAAAGAACAAAAATTCAATATTAAAATATATGCAGCTTACTGAATAATCATCTTATTTGTCAGACAAGCAGAAGAATCATCATTGAAGTGCTCCTTAAGTGTCAAATTGGGTAATATACATAATTAGGCCCCTTTGATTAGATATGTGCCCATGGTAACAGCTGCACTCAAGATCCATATATTAGTACAGCCTTGAAATAATCTTCAAAGGGATTGATGGCAACAGAGCACTTCTGAAGCTTCACTGGGGAGGCTTTTGGAACATAACCTACACACCAATTTTCTCTGTTCCTGTGGTTATTCTTTATTTTATCTTATTATCTTCTGTTTTTAAAACAATGCATGCCTTGGTTCTCAAAGGTGATATACTGCTTCCATGAAGTGTCACTACACTTTTATCCCTAAAAGGAAGATCTCTTACTCATCTGCATCACATTTTAAAGCCTAAAGCCTTCCTATATTTAGGGATGAAACCCAGCAATTGGCAAGGCTGCTGCAAGCTGTTTCTAGGAGGTGGCAACAATCATCACCTGGAAGACAGCCTATCTCAGATCCACTCTTCTCTCTCAGCCCAGGACAGCCCAGTGATGGATAAGGTCTTCTGGATGTTCTTTTAGGTTTTTGCAAAAGCCTTGCAAAGAAACTGCAAGGTCTCGGCAAGAAGACTGATTTTGCATCAGATCCAAGCCTCAGAGAGCCTGCAAGCCCTGAGGTACAGCCAACCCACAGGGAATGAGTCTGAAGGGTACTGTTTGGCAACAGTGGAACCCAAGAGAGTGTTTAGCTGTAGATGCAATAGGAATTGTTCCTGCAGTTTATTTTTACATGCTTAGAGGGTGAATGAGTTTGGAAGATTTGGAGAGAATCAGAGAATTAGCAGAATGAATTATTATTGGTTATTTATACAAAATAACAAATATATTTCCTGGTACAACATTGTGTGTCCAGGGATGATGAGAGGTGCTTTTGCAGAAATGCTGGTGGGGAAATATTTAAAAGAAGATCTTTTTGCCCAATAAGGAAGAGACCAAGATACAGAAAAGTTCCCCAATATGGAGGCACCAGGGAAAGACTGACCTGTAGCAGGGAAACCTAGGCAGGAGATGCTGAGAGTCTGGCAGGAGAGGAGTGTGAAGCCCCATTCCTGGCCAGTTTGGTTTGAAGGACTAAGGTTTATGTGGCTAATCTTTTCATGTCAGCTATCCCACTGTGCAAGAGAGCTATAGTGTACCCCTATGAGGACATTTCACCTGTAGAAACAAGACAGGACCTGGCACCAAGGGACCCTGTTTGGAAGCACGTGGTGGAGACGAAATCAACACTGAAAGACTGTGAAAAATAAATGTACAAAGATGTTCTAGGATGTCTTTTAGCTTTTTGAAAGAAGAGGGTTATCCTAAGCAAATGGGTAAACAGAACAGCCAGAAAGCTTTGGTAGGCATGGGAGGAGCACAGGGGAAGACTTTATTCCCTGGTTTAGCTGCTTCTTGGCACAGAAAATGGGAGCACTCTCTCCAAGGGGCCAGTGACACAGCCAGCCATGTTTGTAGCCTTCAGCTGCATAGCAAGAACACTGAAAGAACTGTCCATACAAAGTCATCAAACTGTTACTGGATGCAGCATTAGGATCTCATCTACTGAAGCAAAAATACACACGTGGATCCACCTTGGGCATGCAGTACATGATTAGGAGCATGTCACCTTTCTCCATATCAGCGTGTTTTTAACCACGCTCAGTGGACAGGATCATCAGAATATAGATTAACATTACTGGTCAAATGATATGAAAGTTGTGAAATTTCTAAACCCTTCCCTCTTTTCTCTAAGTAAGTGCTGGTTTTAACATTGCTTCTCAAACAGGGAGATTATTCAAACCAGTTTCTCGTTAGTCACATCATCACCAAACTATGAAGTCTGAAACAAGTCAGACCAAAGTCTGTGTCTGCCCTAGTTGAGAATAGGAGGAACCTAAAGGGACCTGGATTGTGTGCAAATCCTGTGGTGATGGTAGTGATGGCGGTGCCAGCCCTAAACATCCTGTTTTTAGGGTATCTTGTGGACATCCACTGCCTGTGCTTGACAGCACACTTGTACTGGGTATTCCCAGGCCCTTCTACAGACTGAAGGGCATCCTCAGGTCATGGGGCTGGAGGCCTAGCAGCTATATGAGTGGTGAAATCAGCCTGGAGAGAGTCCCAAAGTGCCAGAGGGGAAAGGCACAGTGGATGTGCTGTGCATGCGTATGAGAGTGTTCACACACACATGCGTGTATATGCAATATTGGTCCCTCCTGTGATAAATGGCTCTAAGTGGAGCTTTGTGAAATTTTGAATTTCTGTTTTTCAGAACAGAGCAAACTGTGGCAAAAAACCAGGAAAAATTGTTTCCTGAAATTAAAACAGTCATGTTCAGAAATGTTTCCATGTTCCATTTTGACATTTTTTGGATCAAAGTGAAGCATTTTGACATTTGTGAGGTAGGAATGTTTTGTTTCAATTTGTTGAACTGACATGAAACATTTAGTTTTGAGTCTGCTTAACATTAAAGTAGGCAGCGCCTTTCCTTGGGTTTGGGTCCCATTCTCTCCTCTGGGCTGTGCTCCCTGGGAGCTCTGCCCAGCTCCCATGAAGCTTGGGCCAGGTCCATTTTGTTCTCAGTGAATGCAGCTCAGCCGCAAGCCCCATGCACAGGAAAGAAGAGAGGCCTTTTCGGGAAAATTCATTTCAACGCTAAACTCAATTGAAATGAAAAATTTTGGGGCAGTTGAAGCAAAGCGCTCCGTTCCAGATCACCTCCACAAAACACCATTTCTTGTCAGCAGCATCCCTGAATTCCCAGAGGCACTTTTTGTGTTGCAGAAGCTGTGCTCTGATTAAAAAGGTCACCCAGCGAGTGCCTGCATAGATTTTGATGCGATCTACACCAATAAGCTCCCGGGGGTCTGCAGACTGGCCCCCTGGACTTAACGACAGAGCTGCCCTGTAGTGTTGGTTGGGCAGATTTCCCGACAAGCTAAAGATCCCCACTCATCCTCTTGGAGGCTGGCTGGGGCCGGGGCAGCCTCTGGCTTGGCTGTCCCTGAGAGAGGTGAGTGGGCTGCAATAGGGACAGGAGTTTCTCTTGGCAATTTGGCAGACTCCTCTCTTTTCTGGAAGTAACTGTAGGGTCTTCCTGTGATTTCTCATTAGTTTTACCTAAAAGTAAATTCAAAAGTTGCTTTGGCTCATTCTCAACAGCTCTCTATAGGACCAGGCAGGTCCTACGACTTTCTGTGAGGGATAATTGAATCCCTTACCCTCCCCCTTTCCTGGGCAACAGCTTCAAAAGATCTCTGATTTTGCTCAGCAATCAAGCAATCTCATTTGCAAAACAACTGCAATGGCCCTGCAAAAGCAAAAGGACAGCTCCTTTGTTAAATAGTGCCTTTTGGTGACACAAAAGAACCATAAAGGTGATGAAGCTGCAGCCGGGACAGCCGCGTTTCCTGGACTGTGCAGCCTGGCTTCCCTCCCCCTCCCGGCTGTAATTTCAGACTCCGAGTCTAAGAATTATGCAGGGCTCAAACTCAGTGAGAACAAGGTGCATTGCAACTATTCTTAGGTCCAAAAATTATTCCTGGCTTTGCTTTGAAATCTGAACCAGGGTTAATTTCTCTCCCCCTTCCCCCAGTCTGTTTCCTCTCCTCTTTCATGTACCTATTTGCATAGACTGTCATCGTAAGAATCTCCATTAAAATTGAAAGCCTCCTTCCTGCATGTCACCTCTCGCAGCCCCCTTCCGCTTGCCCTGCATGACTTTTGGAGGGCTGGAGAGCAAAGGTCCTGTGCTAGCATCGCCTCCTGAGCTCTGCATTCCCCCTGCCCTCAGTCCTGCTCCTCTGTTGCTATAGGAACATCCATCAACTTGGGAGTGCCAGAGAAAAAGAACAGAGAGTTATCTTAATTATTTAATGATTGATTAATATATTTTTATAGAGCACTTCAAAACCATGCATAATTTTATGAATTGTTTATTAACTGGGCAAGTGGTATAATTTACTGAACATCCTCCACTCTCATTGATTTCAGTGGGAGGAAAAGTCAGTAGGCAGCTTGCAGGTTTTGTGATAGTTACATTACTAAGAGTACTAGTAGTTCTGCTTCAGGGAAATAATTTAAGTATGAGCCTTTGCTTCACATTTCGTAGGCAGGGCTGCTCCCACCACCTGCCACTGAGGTTACTCAAATGCCTCCATTGTAAACACCTATGTTCAGCTGGTTTTTGGCAGGTTTTACCCATCCGGAAAGAAGGATTGTGCTTACTTCTCCTTGAGGCTGAATACAGAGGGGAGGCAGAGAGTGCTTGCAGCTGGTGGTGCAGCATGGCTTGTTGGTACAGGGAGCCTCCTGGCTCAGCTGCTCCTCTCTGCTGAGTGACTGTGGTTTTGTTAGGAGGCCTTGGAGGCTTTTGCTAAAGTTTGTGTGCTTTGTGCCTGTAGTACCAGGTTGGAAGGACCGTATAAGCAGGGTCTGTTGTCTGGGTGAGGAAGGGTGGAAGGAAGAGCATGGTGCTGGTGTTGTGTGTGCAGCCTTGTTCCCATGTCCAGTTGAGGATGCCAGCTAGAGCAACGTTTACTGCCCATGCTGGTTGTAAATCCTGGTCTCTCCCCATCCTGACCCAGGTAAGCTGCTGAAGCCAGCCTGTCTTTGCTCTCTGCAACCACCCCAGGACCTTCTTTGGGTCTGACTTTCCTTGATGCCTGACTGCTCTCTGGCTTCCTCCCTCTCCTACTAACAAGCTGACACTACGCCACAGTGGGATGCAAGGTAAATGCAGACTGACCACCTGAAGAGCTCTGCATCACCAAGCATGGAGTGAGCCTGTGACACGCAACACACACTGCCATGCGTGCTTGAGAACTGAAACTTGCAGTCGGAATGCCTTTGCTGTGAGCTGTCGTACTTTGCAGAACTGTAGGGCTGCTATGACCTCGGTGTCAGGCCTGACTGTCCCTGCAGGTGCAGGAAGTGAGACAGGATGATGCAATAGGATACAGGCAGCTGATAAAAGCTGGTGCTCCCTGCCTGACTTGGCCAGGCCCCTTACCTGAGTAAGGCCTGCAAGACCACGGCTGCTGTGATGGAGGATGATTGGGAGGGTAATAACTATAGCTGGTGCTCTTGGAGAGGCTGCTTTCCCCAGATAATGCTTGTTATGAAGCACTAAAGACCTGTGATGCAATGGGATGGGTGTTGATCAGGTGTGATGTATGCAGCTCCCTAGCTTTTAAGAGGAAGCACAAAATGAATAAGGAGACTTGCAAAACAAAACAGATTTACTCTGGATGCACACTGGTATTTAGGAGGTATTAAAGCCTTGTTCATTTTAAGGACTCTTGGACTTCTCAGCTCCTGTGAATCCATCTTCTGTAGAGCAATCATCCCATAAAGATGCCTTCATATATGGCAGCCACCCTTGAGGTTTGTTTCTGGATTTTAAATATGGATTGTTGCAGAAAAGTCTCTGCTCCACCTGAAGAAAGCAGGAGCAGGATTAGGTTGTCATTCTGTAGTAGTTCAGCACTAGAGGGGGATGTAGCACGTGCTTTCCAGCACATTTCATACATGCATGCCACAATTTTTTACAGTGGTGTTTATAAGGAGGCTGTTTCTATAATTGCCAACATGAAGATTTTTGTCTTGCAGGGGCAATTTTCTTGCACAGGATAAAAATCAGAGAGGCTGCTATTTGCTGAGACATAAAAGACTGTGCTTGTAGTCAATTAATTTTGTTATGTGTTATGTGTGTCTTGGATATTGGGGCCTCAGAACTTCAGGCAATTCTCGTGTCTTTTTTTTTTTTTTTGGTGTGTCTGACATGAAAAAACAGAGGCTGTTCTTTAGCTTGTCTGTAGCTCTAGTCCAGGCTGTTGGCTGGAAGGGTCTGAACTCTGCCCTTCTTACCATGGTAGTGCCCTTCTTGCTTGTGGTAGTGAGTCCTGCAAATGGTTGAAAAAAGATATAAAGCCAAATCCACCCAACTTCACTTGCTTGGAAAGTCGCATGTTCTCAACAAAAATGGCTCTTTGACTTTGAAGACATCTGAGTAATAAAAACCCGTTGTCCACTTCATGCACAAGTAAAACACTTGGAAAAAAAAGCTGCTGCCTTGAGGTTTTGCAGAAGCTGGTCAAATTCCTGTCTTCTTCTCTTGTTTTCCTCCTCACCTCCAGTGAGCAATTCTCATTCCATGTTTTACTCAACAGTGCAGAAGTGTGCCAGCGTGAGGAGATTTGCTAGCCCGTTAGGCCAGGGAATTTCTCCTGGTGTGTTTGGGTACAGTATCTTGGGAGAAGAGTGGCCTGGCTGGTGTATGCTAC